AGGAATGAATAACAAGAACATGATGGTGAACAAAGTAATTAGTAAAGGAATGGATAAGAAGAACATGATGGTGAACAAAGTAATTAGGAAAGGAATGAATAATAGGCCTCCCAGCAGGCTCTGTGAACATTTGAGGAACACCTGCAACAAAATATAGAACACTAATAAGATTTTTGGTGTCAAAATATGGTAATATAAGACACTTTACAACCTCAATATGTTCGTGCCATTGTCTTACATTTGTATGACACATGTATTAAGTTCTCTGCTGTCCTACTCACAGTATTTTATTATTTTTTTTGCAACATTCTTCTCTGTAGAGTTTTCAACACTTCTCCATTTTCAATTTAGCAGTGATTCCTCGTAAAACTTCTACATCTAAAAGTATTGTTTGTCATGTATAAATACATCATTAGGCAAACCAACTAAAGTTCAGCCACCATATTCATATCAGTCTATGTCCTTGTCTTTTATTGCATTCACTATCTTCCTGTTTGCCTCTGAGAAAATATATTGTTGAACATTATTCTTATTGTGACACTCAGTCTGACTTTCTAAGGAATTTTCTTTACCTGTGAGACTTTGCTTTCTCAGCATTCATTTGGTTTTCATTCTTTGTTCACAACCGTTTCATATAAGCAGCATATTCTTGCTTTGCAGCTTTAATCATTACTGATGTAATAGAAACCGTGCAAGAATTGTCGTCATAGTGCTTTAATCCATCACAGAGACCATCAACACTTACTTCTGTTAATGATGTCCTCGCCTAGGTTGTAGTATTTTTCTTAAATGATAAACTCCTTTGAACGTCAGCATTGCCATGAGGAAAAGATAATGCTGCTTAACCAGCTTTAACAGACCTTTGTATTTTAGATGCCTTGAAATATTCATGATGGATAAAAGTATAGTCCAACAATTATTAGTAATATTACTTTCCAAATTTCCAGCTTTCAAAGAAAGCTGTGGTGATTGATAATGATAGCGATGTTTCAACTATGTCAATTTCATAAACATGAATTGTGATGACTTCACTACTGCTACATCTACAACAAACTTTAGACAATTCATTTCAAAGCAGAAGAACAAACGAAAATGAACGTTGTTTTAACATTGTAAAGATATACTAATTTAGATATAAGTCATGGAAAAATATAGTACATTGTCGAAAGTAATCTTTATTGGAAATATTGGAGCTCTGATATAAACAAGAACAACCTTCTTAATTAATGTGATGAGAATCTTTATTACCTAAGGTGTGAATAAACAAGAACATGATGATGAACAGTATCATTGGTTATGGTGTGAATAAACAAGAACATGATGACGAACAATATAATTGGTTACGATGTGAATAAACAAGAACATGATGATGAACAATATAATTGGTTATGGTGTGAATAAACAAGAACATAGTAAACAATGTAATTAGCTACAATGTCTAAGATTATTGTTACGACAGCGGAAGTCACGTGACTCTGGTAGCACGTGATGAGTTTCTCGATTGATCATGAATTTCCTAGTGCGTTCGGGACGCCCCCTTTTGTAGTATATAAGCCTGGCAAATAAAGCCTGCGGGATGATTGATTGAAGAGATAGATAATCGAGTCAAGTGAACTGTAGGCACCGTAAGTAAAGTGTGTGAATCACTGTGATTTATAGCGTGTGTTATAAAGGTTGTTATATTTAAAGTGTCTGTGGAAATTCTGTGTATTACAAAGTTGTATCAAGAAAGAATAAACTTACAACGCTAGAATCCGGGTTTCGATACCCGTGGTGGGCAAAGCATAGATAGCCCGTTGTGTAGCTTTGTGCTTAATTACAAACAAACAAGTATCGCTGAAGTTCCTCAGAAAGAATTTATACCGGAAATTAACAAACAAGCTGATATGCAACATTATTTTAAACAAGAACATGGTAAACGATGTACTTATCTACTAATAAACAAGAACACGGTAAACAGTGTAATAATCTAATAATAAACAAGAACGTGTAAACAGTGTAATTATCTACTAATAAACAATAACATGGTAAACAGTGTAATTATCTACTAATAAACAAGAACATGGTAAACAGTGTAATTATCTACTAATAAACAAGAACATGGTAAACAGTTCATTATCTACTAATAAACAAGAACATGGTAAACAGTTCATTATCTACTAATAAACAAGAACATGGTAAACAGTGTAATTATCTACTAATAAACAATAACATGGTAAACAGTGTAATTATCTACTAATAAACAAGAACATGGTAAACAGTGTAATTATCTACTAATAAACAAGAACATGGTAAACAGTGTAATTATCTACTTATAAACAAGAATATGGTAAACAGTGTAATTATCTACTAATAAACAAGAACATGGTAAACAGTGTAATTATCTACTTATAAACAAGAACATGGTAAACAGTGTAATTATCTACTAATAAACAAGAACATGGTAAACAGTGTAATTATCTACTAATAAACAAGAACATGGTAAACAGTGTAATTATCTACTTATAAACAATAATATGGTAAACAGTGTAATTATCTACTAATAAACAAGAATATAATAAACAGTGTAATTATCTACTAATAAACAAAAACATGGTAAACAGTGTAATTATCTACTAATAAACAAGAACATGGTAAACAGTGTAATTATCTAATAATAAACAAGAACATGGTAAACAGTGTAATTATCTACTTATAAACAAAAACATGGTAAACAGTGTAATTATCTACTAATAAACAAGAACATGGTAAACAGTGTAATTATCTACTAATAAACAAGAACATGATAAACAGTGTAATTATCTACTAATAAACAAGAACATGGTAAACAGTTAATTATCTACTAATAAACAAAAACATGGTAAACAGTTAATTATCTACTAATAAACAAGAACATGGTGGTAAGAAATGTTTGTAAATTTTGAAAGGGGAGGCAACTTGTTAACAGCAGCCGCCAACTCTTGAACTACTTTTGTCTGCCCGACTAGTGGTACTTGACTGTCACTCTTACCATGCAGGAGGACAGTTTTGTTGCAACTGGACACGAACCACTGACCTTCGAATTCACAGTCTGGCACATTAATTACCAAGTCCTGCCCAGCCCAGGTAAGCAATTTAAATAGCTCAGGTGCGACTAAACAAAAACACGGTGTTGAACAGCGTAAATACCTAAATGGTGAACTCATGAAAACAAAGACTCTTATATCACGTTCAGTTGCTTTAATTGCGTTATTTTTTAAAAGATAAGAAAAAATTGTTGTCAAAAGTAAAACTTACTGATAGGAAAAAGACACTGGTGTCTCATTTAAATATTGCGTAATATGTTTAAATCCAGAGAGACTACAAGAGTGTTTGTGGGGGGGGGGGGATGAGCGAATCAAATACTACACCTCTTTCCCCAGTAGACATCTCAAATAATCTTCAGATGTCCATCCTTTGAGCGCATATCATCCGAGAGGCAAAAGAAAAGGGCGACAGAGTGACATCAACTTTTAAAGAAATATGTGTGACATATCTCCACAAGTTTCCTCAAGTAAAATTATTCCTGAATGCTTATGATAGTAATTATATATATATATATATGCTTTATTAATGGATGTTTTTAAGGATAGATCTTACAACGCTGGAAACCGGGTTCCGATACCCGTGGTGGGCATAACACAGCTAACACATTAAGCAGCTTTGAGCTTAAACTTCAAACTCCCCCCCCTCCGCCAGTGGCACAGCAGTATGTCTGTGGATTTATACCCGTAGAAATCTGGTTTCTATACCAGTGGTGGGCAGAGCACATATAGCTCTTTGTGTAGCTTTGTGCTTAATAATCCACATCTTACAAACAAATGAAATAATTTTTAAGAATCGGAATTTTAGCCGTCTGTTGGATCTTTTATTCATATCGTGGAAATAAATAAAACTCGCGATCGTGCAGACAATTTATCAATAGACTACACAGAGACAAAAGTGCATAGATTTACAACAATTTTCAGCCCTACATTATTAAAACTTTCGTTAAAAAATTCTCTCTTTTGCTGTTAAAAGAGGAAGGGTTGGGCGCTCTTTATCTTTAATATAGGTCAGCAATGGCCTGTTGCCCCATCCTCTCACGTCTTTTACACGTATGGTTAAAATCTAGCCTGTTTTGATTTATACCATAACGAGATCATGCTTGACCTTGTATAATAGAAAATAAAATAACTGTTCAGTAGTAGCTTGAAATAAAATTAGACTGCCCACGTGATAAAAAACGCCGTTAACTTGAGGAACAAAAATCCTAATGTTGAATCTGTATGAAATAAAAGTGTAATAAGAAGAAACACTACCTTGTACTAAATAAGAACTTCTTAATATACATGGGAGTGATGAATAAGTATACAATAGCCGCTGAATATACATTTAACAAAAATCTCTCACATCGCAATTCCATAAAAGTACCAATGAAATTAATATAGACCACCTATGAAATTGAAGAGGTATAAAAACAAAAATTACACCTCGAGCTGGTAAAAACACACAGAGACATAAAAATTAAACATCAAGCTGGTAAAAACATACAGAGACATAAAAAATTACACCTAAAGCTGGTAAAAACACACAGAGACATAAAACATTAAACCTCGAGCTGGTAAAAACACACAGAGACATAAAAAATTACACCTAAAGCTGGTAAAAACACACAGAAACATAAAAAATTACACCTCAAGCTGGTAAAAACACACAAAGACATAAAAATTACACCTCAAGCTGGTAAAAACACACAGAGACATAAAAAATTACACCTCAAGCTGGTAAAAACACACAGAGACATAAAAAATTACACCTCAAGTTGGTAAAACACACAGAGACATAAAAAATTAAACTTCAAGCTGGTAAAAACACACAGAGACATAAGATATTACACCTCAAGCTGGTAAAAACACACAGAGACATAAGATATTACACCTCAAGCTGGTAAAAACACACAGAGACATAAAAAATTAAACCTCAAAAGATTACCTACTTACCGGATTTATAATAAAGAAAAACACATTTATCTTCTGCCTGGACTTCGTGATCTTTTGATTCCCAGTTTCGGTAATCGGTCAAAGTGCCGTCTGACCACTCAAACTGGCCATCTATTCCAAGAGCATGAAGACCGATCCAATAAGTAGAAGACGAATAAAACTTATTCTTTTTGATCTGTAAATCATAGCTAGTGTTAATTCGAATAGATAATTGGCGACTTTGAAATAACTAAAAGATGTTAAACTTCATGTTACTTCTATTTTAAAACTATTTTCTATTATATGTTATAAACTTTCAATCATCAAAATTTTCATGTCCTTCTTAATATTGATTTTTAAAGTAAGGAAATCAAACTTTCATAATTTCTGTTCCAAAGACTACTTTAAATCGTTTCCCAAATTAATGTTAGATACCTTCCTCTGAATTAAAGTTGAATATTCAATTAAAAGTCAACAGTCTCAAGAGGGTCAAATTAGGTATATTTAAAATAATACATACAGTACTTCTGCAGTCATCTTATAATCCTGTACCCGATATGAAGTCTATGTTATTAGGGTGTCGAATGTATATTAAAGTTTCAAGAATTTTGCCTAAGTACTCATAGATCAAAATAATCTTAAGATTTTAAGAATAACATCTAAGATGCCTTAAGAAGAATAAGATGATAGGTTTCAACGGTAATACTCTAGTAGATAAAGATTAAAATTAATCAAATAATTTCACGAATACGTTCTTAGTAATTAAAAGACAGAATGAATATTATCGTCTAAAATAATTCAAAATAGCTAATGGGTAGAAAAGATCTTGATGTTTCTTGAATGTTGTGTAAGTTACTATGTGGTAAAATGAATATTAAACTTTCAGAAAGATTGAATTTCAAGGCATCAATGCTGCTTACTATCACCGTAGCCATGACAACAGTTGTTCCATAACATAGGTACGTTCCCTTCACTACTATCTGATTGTTATCCAGTACAGGGCCCAACACTAATAACAGAAACAAGCTAACCACCATAGAAGTATTAGCCTCTAACTTCTACCATGGGAATCCATTAACATCCACATCCGTGAGTGCGTTATAATGTGACGGTCAATCCCACTATTCGTTGGTAAAAGAGTAGCCCAAAAGTTGGCGGTAGGTGGTGATGACTAGCTGCCTTCCCTCTAGTCTTACACTGCTAAATTAGGGATGGTTAGCGCAGATAGCCCTCGTGTAGCTTTGCGCGAAATTCAGAAAACAAACAAAACGAAACTATTAAAACTGTGAGTTTGCCTATTACTACTGTATCTACCATGAAAGTCCTCTACCTCATGAATATTTCAATATCAAAACTGAAATTCTCTTATCAATAGTAATGAAACTATTAGGTGCATTGTATCTTCAAACAGTGCTCTACAGATCAGTAACAAAAAGTTAATTCATATTTCAAAATCTTAACATCCTTTGTTTTCATTCATTTGTTGCTTGACATTTGTGTTCTCAGTGTAGTTGCTTTATTCGTATTATACAACACCCATGAATGACTTTTTGTAATATTTGTACACATGTGTAACACTGCACACATATATTCATCTACACACTTACATTGCCATACACGCATAGCTCACCTTCACACATTGTGTGCTATCACCAATATTCTCTAGATATTTCTTTCAAAGCTCATTAGCCACTTCCATGATGCATGATCCACCAAAAGGGTAAACTTTCTTCCCAACAGGCAGTAAAAGTAGTGTTTGATGAAGAACACAGTTGCAAGCAATTCTTTTCTTTTTTTATTATGCAGTATGTGTAGTTAAGATCCATTCCAATTAATTCTGCAATTTCAATAACAATTCCGTTATTGCTAACGCTACTGTCTAATAAGATCTATCATGCATATGCCAGCACTGGAGCTTAAACTACAGCATGTTTTAAGGACAGGAAACACTGGAGTTTCAACTAGAGCATGCTTTAAGGAGAGGAAACACTGGAGCTTCAACTGAAGCATGCTTTAAAGAGAGGAAATACTGGAGTTTCAACTACAGCATGTTTTAAGGACAGGAAACACTGGAGTTTCAACTAGAGCATGCTTAAAGGAGAGAAGATGTACA